TCCAACAGCAGACTTTACTACTGTCCTGTACTAGTACAAATTTCTGTCTCGTTTTTGTTGTTTTTTTGGTTTGTTTTTTTTTTTTAAACTACCAGTGTGCTGCAGACAGAAAAGGTGTGTATGAATGTTTGCTTATGCTTTGAGATGTGCATTCAAATCTCTTCGCAAACCATAGAGCCTTAGAGTTTATTGAGGGGCTGCAGCACATGATATTCTGGCAACATGCACTTTCTGGTAAATTCAAGATGTTGAAAGAAAATTGTAGTTTTGTGAGGACAGTGGACTGCTCTTCCAAATGTCATTGTACAGCATCTAGAGCTGCCTGGCTACTGCTTTTAAGATACAGAGAGTTTCAGAGATCATGAAAGCAAGTATAGTGTTAGCAAAATGACAAAGACATTCTGATTTTGTTTGTGAAGTGGTTTTGTTTTGTTTTGTTTAATTTTTATGTATTCTAAATTGTTTCAGATTTTCAAATTGTTAGAGAGAAAATGTTTAATTAAAAACCCCACACTTCAGCAAAGCTGTGAAAGGTATATATTAACAAAAAAAAATCCCTGAAAAACAAAAATACAAAAAACCCCAAACCATAAAATAGGCAGCAGAGTAACCTTTAGCCGAGTCTCCAGACTACATGGATAGCACAGATGTGAAGATGCTGCAGAGGAAACAGCAGAGATACCAATTACATTGCTCTGGGAACCGTATGTTCCAGCTATTACATAGAGATGCTGCAGAGACTCACCAACAGCACCACATAAATTTTATCTTGCATTTAGCCACCAAGATGCACATCATCAGTCCAGCATGAGAGAAGTTTTGCATTTCACCGAGTTACAATTGTCTTTAATTACATTGCCATCATTTTTAATGTCATAAGGTGGAATCAAGGTTTGTGGCCACACACGTGTAGGAGACATGAATTGGATCACTCCTCTGCATCAGTGCTGTCCTCCTTCAAGGCAAAAAATCAGATTAAATGCTTCTTAGTGTCAACTAGCATTAGAAATAAATCAAAATTTAAAACATGGATCACAAGGAAAGACAGTCATGTACAGAAAACATTAAGTGTAGAGATCAAGGTAAGTCTTTACCATTATCTTTCTGTTAAAAGGAAAATTTATTTAGTGCATTGGGACTCACTTTTAAAGGCTCAAACTCTCAGTGAAGTTTGATCCATTTTGATCTTGGAATAGTTTCAATATTTCAGAGATGAAGATCCAAGTGTACACAGTTGGTTTATAACTGATGAAATCTGAGCCACAAACTTGACATGGTGATGTTTACACTCTGATGTTGTGCTGTAGGTATAATCCAACTGGGGCTCTCATATTATCTGGAGCAGCTTTGTGCCACAAGTGACAAGCAAAAGTCTGCTGAATTTAGAAATCCAAACAAAGACTGCAGGTCTAAACAGTGCTAGTTTTATTCAGATTTTCCCCATGGGATTAGTCTTCTCCCCTGACTGGGGAGACAGTACCTACCTTCCTAAACTTGCTCTGTAACGTGGTGCTGTAGCAGGTTTGTGTCAAAGGAAGAACCCTGTTGGTTGGGTTTAGCTAATCTAAGTGCAACCTACCAGTTCAGGTGGGATTATATATCTTTTGACTGTTTGCATAATAGACACATTTACAGGTACATCTTTTAAATATCCAAATTCAGAGGCTTTTGCAGACTCAGGTTACATAAGACATTTCCTCTGAGTTGGTTCTAGAGGAATTAAAAAGTGCCACCACATTCCTGAAGGGAAGGTGCTCATCTTTTTAATAAATCCAAGGCATGATACTATTCTGGGAGAAAGAAAAATAACAACCTTCACCCCATTCCAAGTGAAATTAAAGGCTTGGATTATTCTGACAATAAGCTCTTCACATTGCCACCACTTGTTGCTTGTTCTAATTTAAGTACTTTCCAACATTGCTGACTGTACTGGTGTTGAGATCCAGAGTGTGCTGGCCTCAGCTTCAACAGCTCTGGGATGCTGAAATGCTGGGGGCACAGGTGCTGTATAAATAAGCCAGTTGTTTTGCATCAGAGCTGTTGCTGCCTTTGAGGACTGTCCTGCTATCAGAGGGTTGTGTCACACCCCAGTATTGCCTCATGCCTGCCCAGGAATGCCTTCAGCATGGAGAGGAACTTCCTGCCAGACTCCTAAGTCTGCAGTAAGTCAGTGAAAGAAGTGCTGGTGAGGGTTAGGATGAGCACTGGTCTGTGACAATGCAATGGACCCAGACTTGTTCAAGTCTAGTTGATATTTTACAATTTAGAGCTGAGATAAATGCGAGTGATTTAGAACGTGCGGGGTTTATGATCTCTGGGTACAAATTACCACTTCTGCCAAGCTGAAAGGTAATACTATGAAACAAAACACCTCTTCCAATCCATGTGGCAGAAACAGAGGGCTTCCATTATTCTTCCTTGTGAGCTGTGGCATTTTGTACGGCATGGGTTTTATAAAAATTTCTTCATATAACTGGAGGTGAGTGTGCAGTTGCAGATATATTGTAGTTAATAATTCAGTCACATTCACTTATGAATATTTTGCATGAGTGCCGGTTAATTTGATGTAGCTGAGAAATTAAAATGGGCTGAAAGCTGCTGAAAGAATCAGAAATGTCTCATATATATATATATATGACTTTATTTTCTCTTTTGGGGAAGAGGAATATAATGTCTAAAATTGTGAATAAGAGACTCTAATGATCAGTAATTCATGTATTACTAGTCTGTGTACAAACCAGCAAATTAGCAAGTTATTTTATTTTTACTTGAAGTATCTGAAAGAATGTGCTGCTCTTGTTGAATTAGAAAAATGTTAACCTCAAGTTTCTGCAGTGGATAGGGAAGAGAAATCTATTATTGCAACGATGTACCATATATGATACTTGAAATTCTAATGGAACTGTTTTAGTTGACAATTGCAGAGAAATTATGCAATACTGTAGATCAAATCTAACTTAATAGGGAACAAATGGGCTGAATTACCTGAATATTATGACTGAAATAGCAACTCAAGTAATGTGTGCATGGGCAATAAAGTAGTCATAGTTGTCTTAGTGATGTACAAGTCCTAAGGATTTTAGTGAAAATAGATACTAAACATGCTTTCAGAATGTTGCATGAACTCTGATCTTCCTCTTCATAACAAAATGCTGCATCATTACCATTTGGATTAAAATTCATGAAGAAAATCTGGAAATTCTGAAATACAAACCAGTGACTTGTATCACCATGTCTTTGTCTGAACTGTGGACTAATGATTGCCCTACATTTCAAAATGTTCACATGGAGGTTTGGATTTTCTTTTAAATGTTTAATGCAGTTTAAGGCAGTGAGAGAGAGCACTATTTTTCAAGCTTTCTGAAAATAAGATCTGTAGAAAAAGACCAAATTCCTTCACCTACTTAATGTATATATATACTTATGTATATATTACTCCTTTTTCCACTGATATTTAGAAAGAATGTCTATGTCCATTTGCTTTCAGAGATTTCATTGACTGCCAGGACCTAGAATTTTTCCATTTATGGAGTTCTCTTTTACATGGGACAAAAATAGTGAGAGAAACTTCAGCTCTGTGTGTGAGAGTATGCCACTATGCCACTTCTTGTGGCAAGCTGTACAGATACACAGATGTGCCCATTAGACATCAGACTCAAATAGTTTTGTGACTTCAGAATAATTAACTATTTGCATTTCCATATTAATATGACATTCTTACTTATTTTCTGTGGTAACTTGGCTGGATTTGACTAAATGAAAAAGATGTGAACATGTTCGAGCAACAAGGAGAAGGGCCTTGACAATGGCCAAAGAGCAGGAGCATCTCTCCTATGGGGACAGACTGAGAGAGTTGGGATTGTTCAGTTTGGAGATGGCTCCAGGGAGATCTTACCTTTCAATGCTTAAAGGGGGCTTGTTAGAAAGGCATGTGGAAACATTTTACCCAGGTCTGTAGCAAAAGGACGAGAGGGAACAGCTCTAAACTGAAAGAGAGTAGGTTTAGATTGGATATAAGAAAGATTTTTTTCCTATAAGGATGGTGAAGCACTGGCACAGGTTGCCCAGAAAAGCTGTGGATGATGCCCTATCCCTGGAATTGTTCAAGACCAGGTTGGACGGGACTTTGAGCAACCTGTCTACTGGAAGGTGTCCCTGCCCATGGCAGGGGGGATGGACTAAATGATCTTTGAAGATCCTTTCCAACTCTAACCATTCTGTGATTCAGTGAAAATATGAAAAGATAGCTGAAATACATGTTTTTAATTATTGCTGCTTGTTTGGGTTTTCTCTGAAGCAGGTTGCAAACACCATAATTAATTGGATTTTAAAAATTAAATGCTCCAGTTGAGCAGCATAGTGGTATGTATGGTACAAACAGGTGGCTGCCTAAGGCAAGGGATTGTTTAAATGTTGTGGGCTGTGAGACATCTGCATAAGCAAAACCACAGATTAGTCAGATCTGGCTGAAAGCATGAGCAGTCCTCAGCTGTAACTTCCTGTCATTAGTACTTCACAAAATTAGTGAGGTGTTTGAAGACAAAAAGTGGCACTACAGGTGTGTTATATTAGACTGATGGATATAGCCTGGTCCTTAGAGATACTTGTTCTGTATCACAAAGCTGTGAAATCTGACCAAACTCAGTGCAGCAGACACCCTCATCCCTGTACAGTCAGCTTGTAGTCTGTCACAGGGACATGGATATTGGAGATCCAGACTGACACCAATTAGCACTTCTTGTCAGGGTATGTATGTACCCCATGCTTGTGGGACTCCAGCAGCACTAGTATTACTTAATTGATCCTGGCACTCTTATAAAAAGAGGGCCAAAATCCAATTTTTTTTTTAAAGACATTAACTTATTGATGCCAAGTTCTTACTTTTTTTTGGCCTTAGACAGTGACCTTTGAGAACAATATGTCATTTAAAATTATATAACTCCCTTCACTTTTTAGTCACTATTGAATCTTGCTGATTTTTTTATTGTTGTTTTTTCCAGACTGGGACAAACGGATTGAATACAAGCCTGGCTCTGGAAGCATCCCCTTGTTTCCCAGCATTCATCTAGAAACCTGTGATGGACCAGTTTCCTCAATACACACCACTATTGAGTTGCAGACCAACTACATTGGAAAGGGCTGTGATCGTGAAACGTACTCAGAAAAGTCTCTGCAGAAATTGTGTGGTATGAAAATGTTTTTCAGTTGAGATAATAATATTTTCTTCCAGATAAAGCACCAATGCCTTGTGACCTGTAAGCATGTAGGATTTTGGTTTAGCTCAGCTGGTTCATTTCCAATTGTAGCAATGAAAATAGAGAGAGTGGTGATATTTGATGGGTGCTCTGTTCTTCTTTACAATGTTTTCAATCTTTTTCATAATTTCTCCCTGCTAATTTTTTTCTCTCTTGCTCCTATTCCTTTTTCTATTTTTCTCCTTCCTCATTCTACTTCTTTCTCCTTTCTTCCCTCTGCTACAAATACTGGCTGTGACAGTGTAGTGAGATTTCAGGTGTAGATTTGCCATCATAGGAAGACTTGAAGGGAATTGAATCTCCATGTTGTGTTTGAGTCTCCCTGACTCAGATTTCTGTTCTGCTAAGTACTGTGACAGAGTACAAACAAACAAAAAATAAAAGAATATTTTGGGTAATCATTTGAGAAAAAAATATCTAAGAAAGGTGAATTTCAGCTAAGAGTTATCCTGGTGGAGAAATGTTTCCTAATTATTTTCTTCACTTTCTGTGCTTTTTAATGACTTGGTGTAAAAGATACATATCATATTTGAAAGATAGATTAAATACTTGAAGATACTACTGTATGTTTTCAGACTTTAAGATTCTGTGTATGGCAAAACAATAGCTACATAGGAAACCTTTTGGCTTTTGCAACCTTCTGTCTCTCCTTCTCCTCTAAAATTCTGTCCTCTTGGAGTCCTCATCTGAAGCCCTGATGGTGTGGAACATTAATTCTCTTCTTCTCCACAATGTCTCTTTCCCTGCCTCCTGTCTGAGCTACAGTAGCAACTGTACAATTTTTTTTCCATTTAAATACTTGGATTTTGGCCTGGGGTGCTCTGGTGTGTGGCTTGCCTTTGCTTTGGTGACCACACAGATATGTTAAGGTCAATACACTAACCTTTAAGAAATAATTTTGTAAATGGAAATTATCAGCCGGTGTTACTAAACTATAAAAAATAGAGAGCCAAGTCCCAAGGAAAAATATTTTGTGGTTATGATTTCAAGTTACCAGTGGAGATGGGGGAAGTAAGTAAAGGTTAATGGGAGTAGTAGCATTGTCATAAAAGCTGAATGTTCTAAACTTGAAAATTGCTTAGTTAAGATTACAGAAACAATCACAATTATAATCTGTATCTTTTTCCATCTGACTGGGATCCTAGAAAAGCAGATGAGAACCCATCTGCCAACAGTATGCATCTTCATCCTGTTAATAAGATTAAATCTGAGAGGCTGAGCAAAGCTTGATTTCATAAAATACTAACATTTAAATAAAAATAAATATGTTAGAGCTAAAGTGAAGTGCTTTTGCCTCCTCTAAGAACCTGTATTGGCAGAAAAAGGAGCATTGCTTTATCCTGTTACAGACCTGAACTGCAAATGGCACAGTCATTCAGAGCAGATCACTGTGAACAGGACCTAAACCACCAAACCATTACCTTGACATAAAACACTATCTCCAACAATATTATCATTCTAAGTGTAGAGCTGAAAGTATGTACCTTCAGCTGGTGTAAAATTCCTCAGTTGAGGAAGGTTGTGCAAAGTCTGAGGGGTTCAGTTTGCAGTGTGGCTTCACTGCCTTGCCTGCTGACACTTGAGTAATAGGAAAGAGAATTGCAAGTCTTTCTCTTTTCTCCTGAATAAGCTGGGTGTTTCCCAATACTAGTCCAACTATAATTCATAGTCTGCACCATGTGTAGGCCTGAGCTGGTGAAAAGGAGAATGATCAAAACCATTTCAGTAGGTCTGTCAATGCCATTGTAGCAGTTGCAGGCAGGAGGACTGAAGTTACTGCTGAACTTCCAGCTTTTGCTCAGCACATCCGTGAAGGAACAGAATAGAAAGCACTTGAGAAAATACATAGTGTAAAAGTATATGAAAACGGGGGAGAAAAAAATCTCCCTGCTGAAAGAATATTTTTTTTTTTGGTTCAAGTTTTCTATATCTTCATAGAGAGCAAACATGGTAGGAGCTTGTAATAGGACTTGGATAAAAAGGTTGTAAGTGACAATGTGCTTTACATCAGAATTGCATTTAGGTTGGCTTGCACGTTGGTATTTTGTATTTATTACCAGCCTTAAGGTACAGAGAGCTCCTAAGAGAACACGTTACACTATTTCTGGAAGTCGTTTTTCTCCCAGAAATTACCTTATTGCAACTAATGCCTAGGTGCTAAAATTCTTTGAAAAGGAAGAAAAGCCTGAAATTTTTTCTACCAGCGAAGCACTGTGTGATTGCAGAGTGCAGAACTGAGTGATCACACACAGATCTGTGCTGTATAAAATGCAGGGCTCTCTCTGTATAGTTAAAGACACAGTTTATAAATCCTGTGCTCATTTCTTCATTTATCTGTTGGAAATCTGGAGAATATAGATGCTGAGGACAGTGCATTAAAATTCATTGTAATATGGTGTATGGTTTAAGTCTGCTCTTCAATAAGTCCGTGATTTGCACTCACTCTGACGGTCAGGGTGGGCATCTGAAATTATTAAATTACACTTGAGTCATTTTTAAATCAAGGAGTTATTAGTGTTGTGCCTCAGAGCATTTTAGTAAGCATTTTTTCCCCTTGTCATCTGACAATAATAAAAAGTAAAGACTGTCTAAAAGACACAACTTGAACTGCAAAAACATATCCAGAATAAATCACACTAAACCCAAGAATTGGTTAAGGAGCCTAGAATCTGGTGGAAAGGTGGGTATGGTTCTGTCTTCTTTCTCTGTAAATGTAGATAAAATAGAACATAATGGGATTGCTAATTCTCACGTATGGCAATTGGGAAACTGAAACGTGGAAACACTGATTCAAGGCCACACTCCAGATAAGATCCCACCCTCTCTCCTTTGTGCTGGATTGTGTAGCTTTGCAAGAAGCTCAAAGAAAATTGATTTGATCAAAAAGTATAATTTGGGCTTGGTGTTGCTGGCTGATTAGCTTCGAGCTCAGCCAGGAGGCTGGTCCAATTCAGCAGGCAGCATCGCTCTGTGCTTATCCTGGCACGAAGTTTGGAGCCCAAATATGCAGGACTGGGAGAGGAGGTGGGGCCAACTGCATAAATTGCTTGTGAAAACAAGCACTTTAATATGCAAGGGTTACCTCGGGGGTCTCAGTCCAAAACTGTGCTTCATCAGTGGCTCCTGCATTATTCTGGAAGCATTGTAGGAGAAAAGGACATCAGTCACTACATTTTGGAAGTGCACTGATCCAGTGGATGACAAGACTGTTCTGGGAACGCCTCCAGATCCATCCTGTTTGCACTGCTCCAGGTCTGTCTGTGTACATGGCCGAGCAGCCTGAGACTCTGGCTGGATTTATGAAGATAGAAAAAGCATATTTATTCCAGCTAAATCTCCCAAGCACATAATCCAATGGTTATTCACAGGGCAGGATTAACACACACTAACAGGATGAGATTCCAAACTAACCCATAAATCTCCATAAAAATATGGGTAGGTAAAGTAGAACCTGTTGAGCTCCGTGCTGCTTACCCAACTGCTCTTACACAAGGCTGACCTTAAGTTGGGAAAATAAAGTAGTTTACCTGAGCACCTTGACAAATCAGAGTTCCACAAGCTATATGGGAGTGTTTAAAGCCAGGTTGGATGGGGCCAGTGGGAGGTGTCCCTGCCATGGCAGGGGGATTGGAACAAGATGATCTTTAAGGACCCTTCCAACCCAACCCATTCTATGGTTCTGTGAATATGAGAGAATTCCATTTTGGAGTTTCCCCTCAGATTCATTCTATTGGAAAAAATAGATCTTTCCAAATTTTCATGGCCAGAGTAGATAGAGTGAGGGATGAAGCTTCTTTGCACCCATAATTTACCTAATATAAGCATGTGCCCATTTAAAAACTTATTTCCTTTGATAACACACCATGGTGAAAATAATTTCTGCTTCTTCTTGTAAGTTTAAAAAAATGAACATAAAAATTAGCACAAAGGAAAATTGAGTGAGAAAATGATGATGTTTCTTGTGTTCTGTGCAAATAATTTTATTTTTTAGTGACTTGAATGAAAGAAAACAAAACAAAGTTTGTCACAAATTGTGCCATCTGGATAAATCTGGATAAAATTATGTACTCCTGTTGGTAAGACCTGGGTATTAAGCAATGCAGTGGTGTTGTATTATCCAGAATTACAATTTATAAAAGAAATACACTTTGTGCTCAAACTCTAAGCATGTAGGTGTTAGGTTTGATATTGCTTCAAAATAACCTCATTTTGCAGTAATAAATTTTGCAGAATTGTCAAGGCTTTCAGTTACTGAGTGACATGAATGTTTTCATATCATTACTATAATATTTTTTTTAATTTGTATGATGCATTTCCACACACTCTTGGCTTAAAATTTTGCACTCCTGCAGAGACCTGGGATCTTTTTTCTCTCCTTGGATGAAGGAGGAAAGAGTATCTTAGCAGGGGATTTTTTTATGCAGTAGCAGTTTGTTTACCATATTCTTACTTGACAAAGCATCAACAAGAATACAAAGATTGTTTGTGCTTTTTACTCTTGGAACCATATTTTCTGCTAAATGCTGTCTTTCCCCAGTGGGGTAAATACTCTGGGTAGCTCCTTACATGTTTTTAATAGTGCCTGACAGTTGTTAAGCTGTAAGAAAACCCAGAGCTGTAAAGAACTGTGCTATTTTATCAGGGCTTGGCAGCACCGTGTTTTCCATCTCAGTCCATCATTAGATAAGAACACGTGGAGTTACAACCATGAAGGATGTGCCAGAAACCAACCTTAAAGTGATATTATCTGTTTGAGGGTGAATACTCCATATGTGTTGACACTCATACCAATGTTATTGTGAATATCTGAGGCTGTCACCAGGACATTACATGACTTGTCCTACATTCACCCCCTCTGTATGGCATTTTACAGCACATCATCCCCACATACCATATATCTTCATAAGGGCAGGGAGGGAAGACTGATGAAGAACATTTGGTTTTAGCCTTACAAGTTCTTGAAATAACTGAAGAAATGTCATTACTGAATTGTAGAAAATAATGAAAATTTCCAAGAAAGATAACTTTAAAATATTTTCTCTGGTTTTCTGTGCAATAACTTTAATCTAGAAAACTCTTGCTGGTTTACAATGTATTGTATTTTAGAATGTTTATGTGGTTTGGCATTGAAGCTAATAGGACCATTTGGGTATTAAAAATAATCTAAAGAGTGGGAATCAGAACCTTGGCCTATATTACATTAATCTTCACAGCTTTTTCATTAGTCTCTCATCCTGTTACTCATCATATGTCATTTACAGGAGCTTCCTCAGGTGCCATTGACCTGTTACCATCTCCCAGTACAACAACTAACTGGACAGCTGGGCTTGTCATGGATAGCAATGACATAATTTTTAAATTTGATGGAAAGCAAGGAGCCAAAATCCCAGATGGAATAGTCCCGAAAAATTTAACTGATCAATTCACCATCACTTTGTGGATGAAACATGGACCTAGTCCTGGATTAAGGGCTGAGAAAGAGACTATTCTCTGCAACTCTGACAAGACAGGTGAGTCTATGTGTTGAAAAAATGTTATGCAAAGGGAATATCAACATTAATAGGGTGTTACCATCTCTCCTCATTTAATTTGATTTGAGAAAAAACTTACTAAGCTGGGTTGGTGCCACCCTGAGCATCACTGACTTGAGAGCTTATTGGGGGACTGATGACTGCCTAAATATCAAACACAGCTGTAGATTTTCACAGAATCACAGAATATGCTGAGTTGGAAGGGACCCACAAGGGTCATCGAGTCCAACTCCTGGCCCTGCCCAGGATCATTCCCTAGAGTTACACCCTGTGCCCAGGAGCGCTGTTCAGATGCTCCTTGACCTCTGTCAGGCTTGGTGCTGTGCCCACTGCCCCTGGGAGCCTGCTCAGTGTCCAACCACCCTCTGGGGGAAGAACCATTTTCTAATATCCAGCCTAGACTTCCCCTGACACAACTTCAGGCTATTCCCTCGGGTTCTGTCACTGGTCACCACAGAGAAGAGATCAGTGCCTGCCCCTCCTCTTCCCCTCACGAGGAAGTTGGAACTGCAATGAGGTCTCCCCTCAACCTCCTCTTCTCCAGGCTAAACAGCCCAAGTCCCCTCAACCTCTCCTCATACAACTTCCTCTCAAGGCCATCTTAATTACCCTGCTTTGGACACTTAATATTTTTGGACAGCTTAATATTTTATATGAATACAAATTACTTATTTTCACGGGGGTTTTTATTTGGTTGGGATTTGTCTCTTAGGTGTTTAATGCTCTCAAACACATTCCCCTAACCCAAAGCGCTGGTGATGGTTCAGGTCACTGATGGTGTCGGTCCCTCCTTTCAGAGATGAACAGGCACCACTACGCCCTGTACGTGCACAACTGCAGGCTCGTGTTCCTGCTGCGCAAGGACTTCGACCAGGCCGACACCTTCCGGCCCGCCGAGTTCCACTGGAAACTGGATCAGGTACCCTGCTCTTCTCTTATCTGTACCCCCCTCTCAAAACCATAGAGAACAACCCCAATCCCACCATAACTGCCCTGGGAAATCTGAAGTCTGTCGCAGTTGTTGCTGCAGCTTGTAGCTGTTACAACTTTAATTGGCATCCACGTAAAAAGATCCAAGTGAGTTAACTTGGTTGAGTCATTTTATGCAGTAGGGGTTTTAACTGAATAATTTTAAATGGTAAGTAGAGATTTATATCCTTCAGCAGTGGATAGAGACGTGGCATTGCATATAGTTCCCTAAAAGTTTTCCTTTTATCATTTTTTAAAAATCTGCTTTATCAGCACAATGGAAGTGATGGAAACCTTTTCAGTAAAGAGTATGCTGACACACAGGCATTTGTAATGTAGTGTAAAGCCAATCTGCAGACTTCTTCTTCTTTTATCTGCTGTGCTGTATGTAGTGTCTCCTTATTGTTAAGAGTATATCACAAGAAAATTATTATCAAAGAGATAAGAGTTGCCTTTCATAGTTTTAATAATTTTAAGCAGGATAAGGATCATTTAGATGAAAGGAGACAGACTTCAGCAAAGCGGTATTTTCTCAAAGCAAGTTTTTTCATATTTCTGAGTCCAAACTATGATATTAAAGATGTAGATCTAGGAATGTTTACTTTTCTAATTCAACATCTCTATATATATACATATCAAAATATGATCTTCATTGTGATTATCAGATGAGTGTGGTAAGAAAACATGTGATGACCATAGCACTTGCTTTGCATTTACACTGGCCAGTCTGGAATCAGTTTCTGCTGTACTTGATATGAAATCTTACAGTGCCTCAAAGCAAATTTAAAATAAATCACATTGAAGATTGCAAGTCAGGAGTAACTGATGTCACCTCAGATAATGCTGTTCTGAGCACTGAAGATGGATTTCTATTTCTAAAATCTGTGCTAAGCATGTAAATTAATGATAATGCAAAGTTTGTGTGAAGTATTTTAACTTTGAAAATTGAATGCAGTCAACTTTTATAACCTTTCAGTAAGAATGTCCTCTCAACAACTGAAATTTGTGTGTAACTCTGGCCAGGAACCTTCCTAACTTCTACTGAAAACTCCTACATCATAGAAAGTTCAGATAGAAAAGATTTTTTAGGTCACATGATTAATTTCTTTTCATTTGGCTACTGTCACTTGATTTCCACTGTGTATTTTCAGCTGTTCTTTCTAGCTGAAGAAGAAAGTAAGATTAAAGTACAAATACAGTTTTTTATGGGTTGCGTGACCAGACTTCCATGAAGATAAATTTATACTGTCATGGTGATACTGTTGTAAGTTTCATCATGAAGGCAACTCATAAAGATTGCTTCTTTATCTCTTCTTCATGCTCCACCTGGCCTATATGGTAGAGTAAATTAAAAGAAACTGAAAATAAAACATATGTGAATAGTGGGCTGGTAAGGAACTTGCATGGTTTTGTAGACAAGGCAGGCAGAAGCTTTCACTTCCAAGTAATAAAATTACTCCAGCTTCTAACTATATACACAGAGTGATCTACCTTAGATAGCTGAGGATATTTTAAAACCACATCAAAAAGCAAGTTATGATCCCATTCAATATGAAAAGAAGCTAGGCTAGACTTAAAAAAGTAGATTTAAATGCTCTAGACGCTAAAGTTGTTTATTTGCATATTTAGATATTGAAATACCTCTGGAAACCTCACCTCAAGAGCAGTTCATTCTGTAGTGGCATATCCTCAGATTCCTTGTTGTTGGTTTTTTTTTTGGTCTTTTTAAGAAAAGCCCAGGAATTAGGTTTTACCTAAGTGCTGTCCCTGCTCTGACCATCTGCACTGCGATACAGGATGCTGTGGATGGCATTGCATGTATGACTCTGGAAGACAATGCCACAGTTGGTAGCAAGCACAGACATAGCACAGTAAAAGCACTTTATTGCTGAGCTCACTTTAGGAGTGTGACAACAATCCATAACTTGTTTTCGCTGAGAGGAATCTGGTGACCTTGGAATAGGGTGAAGCATGAACTAGTGAAATCATTTATCATTCTTACTGTGGAACAGTAAAATTTATGATACCAGCTGCTTTGGGCTCTATCTACTCCACAAGACTACTCATTGTTTCAAGGCACTGACCAAGAAGGTGAGCTTATTGTCATTCCAAGTTTAATTTCATTTTCTAGCTCTTGTTTCTGTCGTGGGTGTGTACGGCACACAGCTTAGTTGCAGACTCCATTCTTGGCTGGGTTCAAGGATCCACCTAACATTTTATGTAGCTACACCTGAGCAGTGCATCTGAAGCCTCATGGTACTACATGGCCATCATAACAGTCTTGCATAAAAGTGACTGAAACTTTTGTGTCTTTAGGTTAGTTCATAAACCCAAGGATTTACTTGCAGTGTGGCTTTCAGTGCATTTAACCCTGTTTGTCACATTAGACTGAATGGCCTTTGCAAGGTGAATTTTTTGCTTCCTGTGCTGAGGATGCACAGCCTGATAGTGCTGTAACCCTGGGCATGTGTGCCTTGAGTGTCACCTGTTAGCACAGGAGATGAGAATTTGCAAAAGGTGCTGCTAATCAAATGTAACAGATTTACACTGAAGGTAGCCCTGTTTCTTATAAGAAACACGGGGGAAAAAAATTAAATGGTCCAGTTTCATCCTTTTTTTAAATTTACCTGTCTTAGTCATGGGACAATCCATTACCAGTAATCTGGGAAAAAGGTACAGAAAGAATCATGTTAAAGAAAACCAGTGCCAAGTCTGTACTGCTGGATAATAAAAACTGTGGTTTTCCCCAACAACTGCAACAGATGCCCAAGTAGAGGTGGTTCCTCCTCTTTACTTATTCCAGTTTCCTTGGAAGTGCAGGTGTTATCTTTGTTTCAGAATCATGATCTTATTCCTGAGTTCCCCATGCAGAGGTTTAAATTGAGTATCATGATGTGATTTTAAGCTTTTTTTTGTTATTTCTTTTCCCATATTTAACTATTAGACACTTTTTAAACCCAAGAACTTATTACAAAAGGTTTTGTTACCAAAGTCAGTAAAAGGCACCCAAGTCATTATCTAATTGTTTGAAATGGATAGAAAAATAGATGTGATTTTAAGTGAATTATTTAGGCAGCCAAATATGCATTTGGACCATGTAAGAGTAACATATAAAATATAAAAACTGTTTCTTTGAAATTCTTGGAAAGCTGTGAACCAAATCAAAATAATAGTTTGGATAATGAACCAAGGCATTCAAGCATTTGGTGACAGTGGAAAACATACCATTAAATAGGACACTGTACAGTGTATTTCACACTCTGTTCATCACAGATATTACATTTTTCATACAAATATGAGGACAGTCAAGCCAAAATTTCTTTCCCCTAAATCAATAGAATAGGAACACTTTTTTTTAGTGGAAGAAGGCATCAGAGCCAGGAATGAACAATTTTTTCACATACTTATTTTTATTCAAAATAGAAAATTATTTTCAGGATGTTATCACCCTGAAAATAGTCTTCCAGCCCACAGGTAAAGTCAGCAAAAAATAGATAAACATGCAGAAAGTTACTGTTTCTTTTCTAAGATGAAATAAATTGCTTTGAATAATCCAAAATAAACCTGCAGTGCTTTTATTGTGGAAAAACCCCAAACAATCACTTGTAAAACAGGAAGGTAGAAGAAAAGGGTTTAGATAAATCTGAATATACTGCAGTCTGTGTCTGTGTGAGCACGTGGACGCTGAAGGATCAAGGCAAGACTTCCATTTGCATTTAATCTCTTCACTGACCACACACACAGCAGGGTCTTCTACCCCCAGAAAGCAGCAATGTCCAGTCAAACCCACCATCCCCAGCTGCTGTGCAAGGACATTATAGACAAGGAACTGACTTCTGAAGAAATTTATGTAACGTGATAAGAGGGTAAAGTGAAATAGATTTGATATCTGGACTTTTTTTTAGCTAAATAGCAGCATTTTTCTGAGTGAAAGTTGTTCTTATATGCTGGATTTTTAGAATGTGATTAGTTGTGTTCATGTGGTTTTGAGAAGAGCACCATTCACATCATGAAAACTGTAAGTGGCCTCCCTCTCAGAGAGAGAAAACAAATGAATATTTATGGACAGAACACAGTATTCTCAGTCCCAGAGGATTAAAAGTTCACAGAGGAGACAGAATGGTGTAAGTTTTCCTCATCTCTGTGCATGAGATTTCCCCTCTTAGATAAAAGACCTCAGGCTTGCCAGTCCCATACTTTCCAACACGCTCTGCTCTATGCATACACCTTTAAAAAAGTATAGAGAGAAATCAGGTGTTTTCCTATAGAACCAGTAAGAGAGAAATGATAAATGAATCATACTAATCCTGCAACAGAGATGAAATAATTCCAGAACTCAAAAAGTCTTCGCAGCATTCATGGCACCTCAAGTGTGTGACATTGTAGCCTTGTCTGTTCTGACACAGTTTATTGCCAGTTTCCATCTTTAAATGCTATTTTGAAAAATTTTTGTTCAGTATCTTGCCTCAAAACAGTTTTTGGTAGCACAGGGATGAGTCACTAGTGCTGATAAATTCCAAAAAAATTTCTTTGAGATCCCAACTGAAAGAAGCTCATTTAATATATGTTTTTAATGGAACTGCTACATCACTGCTAATAACAAAATCTTGACAGACCGCTCCCAGTGGCTGCCCAGAACTTGCTTTATGACACACAAAGTTCCTTTGGGCCAGCCCTGAAGTATTGCTTACGAATTTATCTGGTGATGTGCATTTCTGATTTGTGCAGTCCAGCCCAGTGTGAAATGCACTGACTGCTCTGTGCTTCTGTAAAACTTTTGCGACCTTTAAGGAGCAAGCAAGCTGAGCATTTTATCATTTCTATATTTTCATTTGCTTGGAATTATTTGGACAAGTTTCTGGTTTTATATTGTGTATTTTTTCAATTTTCTGACTGTGGCAGCTTTATCACAATGGTTTGGGATTTTCAGACGTGTTTGTGTTGAACTAC